CCCCCCACACACAAAACAACTCCCTTCCCCTCCCTCTTTCTAACTTCGAGAAACGTTCTCCATTTTGCATCACATTGAACCTGAACTGTTGTGTAGAAGAAAAGCGGTACAGTTTTACAGTGCAATTCTACAGTTTTCTTGCTCTAACCAACGAGACTATTACAGGTACTGAGTATGCATCAATGACAACTGTTTTCATGATGTGGTTTGTTCACGAACATGACGACGAGACGACACGGAAGTTCGGGGTTCAAATCTAAGATGGCTCTTGCTTTTCCTTTTGCTTCCTTTGATGCCCCCCCCCCCCTTCTCAGCTCTACTGTCATGACGAGAAACTGAGCACTTTATTTTTAAATTATCAAAATTTTGCCCAGTTTTATTTTGAGGATGCCAAAAAAAGGGGGGGGGGAAACAATAACAACAACAACAACAACAACAACAAAAACAACAACAACAACAACAACAACAGCAACAACAACAACGACAACAACAACAACAATAACAACAGCGACAACAACAACAACAACAACAACAGCAACAACAACAACAACAACAGCAACAACTATAACAACAACAACAACAACAACATCAACAACAACAACAACAACAACTATAACAACAAAAACAAGACGTACGATTTATGATGGTGGTCAAGTGCAGCTCGCAGCCTCCCGGAAACAGTTGTTACTGATCGGTCTTCATAGGTCACGTGACAACTGAGAGCAAGGCCCGAGAGGTTTCTCATCGCCACCCCCAGGGCTCGAATCATCGGAGCGTCTACTCCCTGTTTGACAGGCTCGTAAAAGGCTGAATAGATCCATATATCCGAATCCCCGATTTGATGGAAAGGCCCAGGGTGCTGAGATGGCGTCATTTCTGATATATCCTCTGGCTGGCTACTGGTATTCATCGTGAGGCTTGAGGGAAGAACGAAACATTCTAAACAAAAAGCAATCAAGAAGTTCAATAAAAGTAAACGAGCAATGCGTTTATAATAATAATTCAAAAATCAAAGTCCACCACCCTTCCCCAAGACCACAATTCTTATCCTCTTCTCTTTATGTTTTGTTTCTGTTCTTTGTTTTTATTTTTCTGTTGTTGAAAACAAGTCTCGGGGTAGCCGCTCAGTATCGAACATTGTAACTCTGTAACATTGTAAATCGCCTTATGACATATTCCAAGGCACTGGGAAGGGGTACGGTCATGCTCTGCAAAAACCCAAGAGACGTGCGATTATTTTGTGAAAATACACTTTTATTTGAAATTCCAGGTATTGTCGATGGATATAGTGGTGAACCATCAGTTTGTTTGCTCCTCTTGCAAAACTTGAAATACTTGAAATACGATAGTTGATATACGATACCGTGCGAGGTTAGTGTTAAAAAAGACCAAACTTCCTTGGTCTTTAAGAGAATCTCACCGGTGCACCTAGACTCTACCTTCGTTCCACTTTCTTCAGCCTGGATTTTAACCGGTTTCGCCCTTCATTTGCAATATAACGTAATCAATTACCACTCAATATCTGTAATTGACATCCCTCCGCCCTCTATCACTTTTTATCGTTTTAATTCTCTTTTTTTCTTCATTCTTAGCCACACTCCACAAGGCAGTGAATGTGCTTCTTCTAATGGCAAGTGCCTCCTCCAGCAATCACTATTGGCGAATGAATTGTTTGTTCTAGACGTATCATTTTTGCAAATTAAAAAAAATAAAAATCCCAACAATAAAAAAATATCCCTATCACACTTAGTGCGCACACCCTTGACCTTCCTTGATTCCAAACGTATTTATCATGTATCTCCTTTGGAGCATAATATTACTATCAGTCAAGATCTGTGGGACGAGAAGTCATACCAAAGATTCTCTACTACCAAGATAATGCAAGTTTACTGTGGGCTTTTGTCCGCTCCTTGGAGGGCCCACTTTGGCGCTTATAGGTGATGAATACGTAGGGACGGAACTCTGGTGGCTTTCTGGGGAATGTACCTCCAGTAGTTTTTCCCCGTGAGTCCATCCTCCAAGTTTTCCCCTTATTTACACTCGACGACCGACTTTTAATTGTATTTCACGCCATTGTTGCGAAACACATGTTTGGCGATGGTTTGGATGACGTGCTTGCTACATGTATACTTGCGATTCGAGAAAAACGAAAGCGAAAGAGAAATCTTTGGACAAGTAAATGATTGCTTAAACGACCTGTTTATTAACACACAAACATCTTGAATAAATTGCGGTTTTATCCAAACAGCCTATATTAAGAAATAATTGAGAATGGATGAGGCTACATATAAATTATTCACCTTCCAAGAATTCTAAGTCCACTGATTGAAAAGCAGCCGACGATAATGCGAGCATAGCTAGGTCCTCGTGAGAGGCTGACCGCAGCTTCACATTTCCTAGCAGCGGGAGGAAACTACCATGATTTGCAATTCTCTCAACTTCCACTTCACCATCATCATCATCATTGCCTTTCTCACCCTGCACCAGGATATAGGCCACGGACAAACACCCTCCACTTTTCTCTATCCTGGGCTAGCCTCTTGATGCTATTCCATGTCTTCCCACTTTTCTGTACATCGATTTCTGTGATTCTTCTCCAGGTTCCACGAAGTCTTCTCCTTGACCTCTGGCCCTGTGGGTTCCAATCCAAAACTTTCTTTGTTGCGCAGCTGCCTGACTTCCTGAGAGTATGTCCAATCCATCGCCACCGCCTTCTTCCTACCTCATCTCTGACTAGGATCTGTCTTGTTTTCCTTAACACTTCAACATTGGCGACCCTGTCTGTCCATCTGATCCTCAGTAACTTTCTTAGACATCTGTTCAAGAAAACCTGGATCCTCTTTATACAAGTCTGTGATGCGTTCCATGCCTCACATCCATACAACAGGACGGACTTCACGTTTGAATTGAAAATCCTCAGCTTTGTTCAAAGAGATATATCTGGTCTTCCAAATCCTATCCAAAGATACGAAAGCAGCCTGTGCTTTTCCAAGGTGGGACTTTATTTCAGCACCTGTTCCTCCCTCTCTGTCAATTATACTCCCAAGATTGCACAAGGATTCAACGTTTTCTAGGGCCTTTCCTTCTATTGTGACCTGCTCCTTTCGTTGTGCATCTGTCCCTAGGACCTTTGACTTTCCGGGGTGGATCCTCAATCCAACAGACTCCGATAGGCTATTTAATATTGAAGTCTTTGCTTGCATCTGTTCCTGGGTGTGAGACAGAAGCGCCAAATCGTCTGCAAAATCCAGATCGCCCAACTGTGTCCATGGTGTCCACTGTATACCATTTCTGTGTCCTCTGGTGGTTTCCTTCATCAGCCAGTCGATTGCCAATATGAAGAGGAACGGTGATAGTAAGCATCTCTGTCTCACACCAGTCTTGATGTCAAAGCTGTCAGTGAGCTGGCCATCATGTACAACCCTGCAACTTGTCCCTTCGTACATGCTCTTGATGAGGTTCACCCATTTCTGTGGGAACTTCATCACCATCAGCATTGTGTCAAATAGTTTCAGAGACATGTCGCGCCATATACGACTCCCTTATAAAGGCAACAGACCCGTCTCTCTCTGCAAAACCTGGCTCAATGTTGAACAGTGACGGCCGGGGTATTTCTTGGTATCTCAAGAACTCCACAGCATATACCTTAAGCAGTTGCGAGCGCCCTAAGACATTACAAAAAAAAAATTTAAAAAGGAGAAGCTAATCATGAACTCCTCCCCCGTCGGTATCGTTATGGCTAAATGAGGCAGTCTCAGAGAAATCGAGTACTCGCTACTATTGCAGCTGCACTGCATTCACGCATTGTGTAACATAAGCCTAGGCCTAGCTTAACCCTAGTCTAGATATTAGACCTTGGAGTAATATAGTTACTCCAAGCATTAGACAATAGACATTTTCTCTGCTCCAGACTCCAGACCATGGCATAGACTAAGCACTGAGCACCCCCCCCCCCCCGCCCTCCCCTCAAACACACAAAAATTGCACTGTGTCCCTTCTCCAGACACTCATGAGAACGGTATTCGTCGATGAAACACATACCATTATCTTTCGACCATGTTGCCGTGTTTGATTGTTACTAGTGACGCAAGAGTAGCCTACACACTTGACTTGAAGGGTATGCCGTGTTTAATAGTGAAAATAACGCGTTCAATAATCATTTTTTTTCCTTAAATGAAGCAATAAAAGGTTGTGTGTACGTACGCGTAAGCCTGTACTTTGCTAATTTTTGGACCCTGACACGAAAATGCAATCAGTTAAAAAAAAAAAAAAAGGATAATTTGATGGCAATAAAACATTTTTCTTCTTGAGACAGACCTAGATCTACGCCTAGCCTGTCTTCACGCCAAATTGCGAACACGAAAATCATGGAATCAAGCTGTACTTGATGTTTTTTCGACTCAACCTCCATCCTCGCGCGGAGGAGGCCTTATATGATTGACATTTCAGGTATTCGCCATTCCACGAATCGGCACCGAAGGACCCTCGTCCCAATTATTATTATTATTATTATTATTATTATTATTATTATTATTATTATTATCATTATTATTATTATTATTATTATTATAATAATTATCATTGTTATATACACCAGAGTCTAGTGATTCACCGACACTTCTGTTAGTCTCCAAGGGTCGTAGGTTTGGACCTGTTGAGGCCATTCCTTGAGCTTATCGCTGCGTGTAAATAAATCAAGCGATGGGCTACGTCGCAAGGCAAGGTTGGTTTCATCGCCGACTACTTGGTGTGTGTGTGTGTGTGTGTGTGTGTATGTGTGTGTGTATGTGTGTGTGTGTGTGTGTGTGTGTGTGTATGTGTGTGTGTGTGTGTGTGTGTGTGTGTGTGTGTGTGTGTGCAAGACCACTTTGTTTGGGGAGGAGAGGAGGAGGTAAAGAAAGGTACAGGCTAAACTTATAGACCAAGAATTGCTGAGATTGTTTAAACATAACGCAGATTAACAAAAAGAACTAGAGGGAAAACAAAAAAAACAGTTTGTTGTCTGGTCTTTTGGGGGGAAAGAAACAAAAACGATGAAAATTATTTAACAATATAAGCAGCAAGTTAATTTTATTTGAATGCTATTGGTGTTGAACGTTCATTGGTTCACGTTTTTTTCGTTGCTGGAACCTTAGACTTCTTGATTTCGAAGATTCAACTCATGGTAAATTCGAGGAGACTGAAGTATGCGGAGGGGGAAGAGGGAGGAGGAGGAGGAATTGAGAGAGGAAGGGGGGGAGAGGAGGAGGGCCCGATGATGGGATTACTATGGATGAGGAAGAGGGGGAGGATGAAGGGGAAGCGAAAGAGAGAGAGAGAGAGAGAGAGAGAGAGAGAGAGAGAGAGAGAGAGAGATGGGGAAGAGAGAGATGGGGAAGAGGGAGAGAGATGGGGAAGAGGGAGAGAGAGATGGGGAAGAGGGAGAGAGAGAGAGAGAGAGTGATAGGGAAGAGGGAGAGAGAGAGAGCGAGAGAGAGTGATGGGGAAGAGAGAGAGAGAG